CTGTACCTCCCCCACTCATTATTCCTTGTTAATAGATTCACTTCATGATGAGGTTTAAAAAAGTTTGATCTTAATGCTACGTGCTTTTACTTTTACAGGGATTACTTAAAGTTTCATTGAATTTAAATGCAAGACTTTACCATAATCTTGTTAAGTCTTACCTTAGCACAAATGCCACAACCAATACATAACGATTCTGAAATTTTGGCAATCTTACTGGTGGGTTCTACTTCAATACAGAGTTTCCCTGTCAAAAAAAAAACGAGACATAGATCCATTTTCATGTCTCAAGTTAAAAGATAAAACACAATTTAAGGATCGAGCTAAAAAAGGAGTAAAAATTATAAAACGTACCCATTCGAACAACAGGACAACTCTTCTTACATTCCTGTCTACATCTTTTCGGTTTACATCTGTCATTACTCACTATGGCAATTCGAGTGAGTTTATCTTGCGTCTCTTGATTCTGTTTTCCACGAGCAGCCATGACTCGAAATAAAAACGACAAACTAGAATGTTTCTAAAAATTGGCCGGTAAATCAAAATGGCTTCCGGACCACGTGAAGCAAAAAAGTGCGCACGCAAATGCACAGCGGACTTCCGGTCTCATTCAATGGGTCTTTTTTGTCTGACAGTCTCTCGCAAAACGGAAGAAAAACGTCTCCCTTGTAAGTGAGAAATCAAAAGTTTTTTCTTTTTCCAAAAAATTACTCTCTTTTGAGGAAAGATGATGCAAAGCCGGGGAAATCAATGCGCTATTTTGGTCTTCCGTGGGCGGCCATCTTGAAAATGGTGCAATATTGTTCATTTTCCTTCATGTAAACTGCATGAAATGGTTTATGTGCATTTGTTTCCAATCCTCACTCCTATTATTTAAAGATGGCTGCCTTGTGGTGGCGTTTCATTCGCAGTGAAGTTTGTTCTAATTGTACAGCTTTTGCTTCTAATTGGCGAGTAAATCGTCCTTTTTTGTTTTTAAGATATTATTCTAAGGCTCTTGACGGCGATAAATTTGTAGGCCATGAAATCGACAAACTGGAGGATGGGAACGACAATGGCGTACTAGGAAGCCACAGGCACATGGATAGGAGAGAGAAATCAACGACTGTAAGCTCATCGTTAAAGGAATATGAGATCCCTTATGACGAAAATTCGAGCTTGTACGACTACGTGAAGAAACTAGAAGAATCCACAGCTCGTGGTAAGGGAACCATTCTGAAATCGTGGTCTCGACTCACTAGACAACCTAAAAATCCGAACTTGAATGTCTCAGGTGGTTTCAAGACCGGATCTCTTCAATGTCTTGGTCTGACAACTCATCTTCTTGAAGAAAGACTTAGATTCTTATCGCAAATGGGAATCAAGGGGAAAGACGCCTTGATAATTTCCCTCGAATTTCCAGCTATCCTATCCTGGGATTGCCCTAACTTCTCTAAAATATTAAAAGTTCTCTTGGATCTAAACTGTGACATTGTTCGACTGATGTGTCGAACCCCATTCGTGTTTGGTCTTGAATATGCAAGGGTGACAGAAAACATACAAAGACTTACAAATGCTGGGGTAGAATACATGATCATTGGCAAGCTAGTAAGCCAACACCCTCTCATTTTGAGTTTTCCATTACGGGACGATAGCCTGGATTTGATTAAGCTTCTGTTGGATTGCCACAAAAAGCTGAAGTGTGATGACGTTATTATTGAAGAAAATGTTAATGAAGAAAAGGCAGTGCTAGACCTACTACTTCAGCCTCTAGAAAAATCTCAAGAACAAGTCAATTTGCAAGACAAATTTAAGCAAGTAATAAGCTTTCTTTATGAAATGCAAGTGTCTCCATTAATCATTGCAGCTAAGAATCCCATGGTGTTTAATACTGATGTTGATACTTTGAGAACTGCTGTTGAATTTTTCACTAGCAAACCACTCTTGTTGGAAATGGAGGTAATTCAGGAGCTTTTGACATCAAGATCAGAACTGTTTGTAAACTTTGATGCTGAAGTGATGTATGATCGGGTGCAGTTAATTTATGATATAGTCAAAAGTCCAACAGCACTATACAATATAATAATTGTACAGTCAGGTTTTGTATTTGAAAAAAGCAACACAAAGATGGAAGACATTATTGAGTGCCTTCGAAATCTTGGTATTGGTTACAAAGAGATGCGCGGTCTGATCACTTTAAAAAACTTTTTTTCTTTGGAAAAGCAGGAATTGTCAGAAAAAGTTGAGTACCTATTAAAGGTTGATGGAATAACAATGGAAAATATACAAAATAATCCTGCATGCCTTTTGAAACCACTTTCACACCTAAGGGAGAGGGTGGAATTCCTGAAAGCCAACAAGCCAACTGTTTTAAATGACTGTGACCTTGGTCAGATTATGACAACCAAGAATAAGGAATTTGCTAGTGAAGTTTGTGGATCATCATTGGAACACTTTGATAAGTTTGTGGAAGGGATGACAGAAAAGTGAATTAAAGTGACCTGGTTTCTGGGGCCTTCCAAGGGGGTATGTTGTCTCTTTGTCGTCCAATTCTGAGACTACCTGTCGCCTGGTAGGTTAGGAAAAAACATTGCTGTCCGATTTTAGCTGGGATGGGACAAACATGTCGCTGTCAGTTCAGAATAAATTTGAGACACTCAATTTAAAATTTACGGTGGATATAATGCCTGGAAAAAAATTAAATATGGTTATTAACCGTTCTCCCTCAAGGGACTATTCTTGAAAAAAACCATAATAAAAAAAATGTTCCAAAGAAAATAATTCAAAATTAATTTTGCTGCCAAAACAGCCATGATGCAGAAGTGAACAGATGTCCTGTTCACTACTTAAAAAATTGATTGTCGCTGTGACAATTCTTTCGTTCTTTTCTGTTGATGGTAGGTGCTTTCCAAGAGCATTATCACCAGTTTTCAGGGGCATGTTGCCTGTCCCTTCTACCCTTTAGAAGGCCTCGTTAATATTATCTTTGCAGCTGATGAATAAAATGCAAATGGTTTACTTGTTGGTGTTTAATTTTTCTGACTCTTTAACCCATTTTTTGACCCTCATACCTAATGTGATATCATCATTATATTAAAGGGGGAGTGATAGGATTTTGATTGGGTTGTCTACCAGCCTGAGAAAACAGACAACATTTTGCAACACCACCACTGGTTTCATAGCAAAATGACGTCTGAGGAACAAGTGCAGAAATTCCATACTGATGACGTGTCACTACCCAGATCTGGGTTGTGCATCTGATTGGTTGTGCCGCATGGGAAATTTGATTCAACCAATCAAAAGCACTTCCCAGATCTTGGTATTGACATGTCATCAGTATGGAATTTCTGCACTCGTTTCTTGGACATCATTTGGCGGGAAAACCAGTGGTAGCGTCACCAAACGTTAGGTGTTGTCTCAAAAAGGCAGGCTAGTTGTCTACTTAAGGGTTGCTTGGGATAAGAGGGGATGAAGTGTATTTTAATCAGGTATTTTTTAGTCTGCTAAGTTGCCGGTTTCTTTCCCAAGAACATAAGGTGCAACCAACAAGGCATTGGACACAAGAGAGAGCAAAAAAGACCAAGTTTGGACTGCAGGCAGTTCCTTTAGTTAGTTGAGTTGAAGCTCAGCACCTGGACTAGAGATAGTGGTTTAACCCCTTAAGCCCCAATATCCACGAGCAAAAAAATAAATTCTCCAACAGGGTTGTCATTAAGAGCTGGGGGCTGGGCATTTTCCCCAGCTACTATGAGTGTGGCCCCCGGCTACTTTTATTGAAAAATAGAAGAAAAATAGAACCAAACAAAATTCCTCTACAGCTGTTTGATTTTCCCGCCTACTTGTTGTGTTTACCCGGCAACGTGAAATCTTAGTGACAACCCTGCTCCAAACTGATCATAAAAGAATAAGCTGAGAGAATTGATAAAAGATCAAGGCATTTTCTCTTAGGTGATCATGTCGTTAATTCTCATAACCTTATCTCTTAACAAGGTATGGATATCATTGGGAGAAAATTGATGTTGGTCACCAATGGGACTTAAAGGGTTAACCTGCATAGCAGTTGGCTCAGGGTGTTTTTTGCACAAAAACATACAAAAACCACACACCTGCTATGCAGTTCGACCAGTAAGATGTCTAGTTTGGACTGCAGGCAGTCCCTTTTCAGTCAGTTGAGTTGAGGCTCTGCAGAACGAGAGAGAGTGGCTCAGCCTGCATAGCAGTTAGTTTAGGGTATTTTTGACCTATACAGGCCAAGAGTTGCTCAACCAGCTTCAAATGGCATTTTTCAGTAAAATGTGTAGGGACTTGTACCGTTAAAATTCCAGACAAAAATGTGATTGCTCCAATGTACGATAATTATGTTGTGGTTCAAATTTATCCTTAGTTTAAATTTTATTTTCCTTTGTTCAAACTCATTATCGTACATAACCATACCCTATAAGAAAGGAATTTAAACCAATGATAAGCGTTAATTGGACCACAACACATACAGTCACTTTTTACAGTCCCCTTTTTTTTGGAGATCATCAAGTTCGTGTGGTGGGACAAAACACGTCCCAGAATCCAAAAACACCCCCAGACTCCAAAACACATCCCACAATCCAGTAACACTTCTCAGAATTCAAAAATACGTCCCAGAAACCAAAGACACTCCCCAGCAACCCAAAACACATCCCAGAATCCAAAGCACATCCCAGACAACAAAAACACTTCCCAGAATCCAAAATGCTTCCCAGAATCCAACAGTGTTTTGGAATCTGGGAAGCATTTTGGATTCTTGGATGTGTTTTTGGTTTTTTGGGATGGGTTTTGGATTCTTGGAAGTGTTCAGGGATTTTGGGATGTGTTTTGTCTCTATGAGCCACAATAAGTTCAGGTGCTTTCTGTAAGGAGTGGCCACCCTGGTGCTAATCTTATAATGGAACAAAAGGGAACTCTAAGCAGTCTAATAATTTTAAAAAAATTTGTTACTTAATAAAAAGACAACCAAACTTAATTCCTTTAAAGTTTATTTCACATTTTCAGACAACAAACTCATATGGGATTGGCTCCAGTGTTTCTGGAGTATTTCTCTTGGTACGAACAAAGTGTGAAAGACGTGGAGGAGTGGGCTGAAACAAAAATGGAAGCATAGAAGATTTAGGAAGTGGTACAGGTATACCTTGTCACAAAAAAAAATTGAATAGGTTCATGCAAAACCGCATTCTGCTCCTTCATATCTCTTTGGAGGACACTTGCATGGAGCCCTTCAGTTATTATGTTACATCCCTTTAATTCAGTTGGCTACTCTACTGCCTTGACCAGGTGTAGGGAAATTCTCATTGAAGCAAGCCAGATAACCCTTTAGACCCCCTAACTCCATTGTAACCATTTTAATTGTAAATATGTTATTGCCCTCTCCCCTAAAGGCTTTTCAGGGATAACAATTGTCAAACACTGGTTGGGGGACCTTTGCCAGACTGTTTAAGCCGCAGTTTAAAAGTAATGAAGAAATGACTGATGATGCTCCCTAATGTGAATGTGAATTTGAGATAGACCACCACACTGAGGACTGCATCCCCTAATCATCACAAACAATGTGTGGGTTTTTTAATTTATGTGCAAGGATAAAGAGATGGGGCATACGATTTATCCCCCTTATCCGAAAAGACTAGAAAACCTAATCTTTTGTAGATGTCTGGGAGTCATTTGTAGACTTCCACCTCTGATCAAAATATCATTCAGTGACCTTGCATATTTTCCAACTGATTTGCCACAACAAAAAGTTCTTCCAAAAGCATTCATAGCCATTTCAGCTACAAACAGAAAGTCACACTACCAACTGAGCCCTCAGAATGGTCATGTGAGCTATACAACAACTCACAAGGCTGTGCAATAGGGAAAATTGAAGGGAAACTGAACCTGTGAAGTCTAGGTGCCCAGCATATAATTTGTATGAAGAAAGGTAAAATTTTCCAGTCATATGAGAGCAAAAGTTGGCTGCCAGGGACCACAAGGCTCTGCTACAGCACAGCCTTGACTCAAATGCAAACAATTGTTTTTCTGTTACTAACAGTTAAGTGATGCCGGTAGTATTTAAAAAGGACAGGCAAGTCGCAGCAGTTGACATTTTTCACTGAACTTGTAACATGTCTAAGATTCGTGTGATGGTCAGAGGGAAGATCAGAAAAAAAATAGAGGGTCAAACAAACTGCTGAGGAGAGGAATCACACCTTTCTCTTGCAGTCAACCTTGAGTACACCCTTTTCCTTGGCTGCCTTCTTCTTCTGTTCATTTTCCTTGACACGCCTGTAAAGCACAACTGTCAGTATTAACAACACTGTTTAAGGTGAATACTGTAACTATGGTGTCAGTAAAACCTGTTAATCTCTTTTGTCTCCTATGAATAATAGGAAACAAAAGCAAGAACAAATTTTACCCTTTATTTCCTCGGGGCATTCATTCTCTCGATAACTAATGGGTACATCAGGTAGCATAATTAAATTAATATTGCTGTCAGAAAAGAAAACCAAATGCTGCAAAATGAATGTAATGCAATCAAATCTACATTGTGCTTATAATGTGATGACAAAGTATCAGCTTCATTTCTCAGGGAAACTTGTCACCACCCTTTCCCACTGACTTAAGGTAAATTATAGTCTAAAAATTTAATCAAACCCTGTTGATAGTAGGTTACTCTACTCAAACCAGGTCCCTACTTCAAATTAAATATTGAAACCCCTGCATTTCTAAAACTAAAGAAAAAAAAGATCATTTTCAGACCTCAAGAAGTCATCTCTGCACTTTGAGTGCTTGATGTGCTCGACTCGTACATTTATACTCTTTGCCAATATTTTTCCCCTGCAGAAATAAAAACATAACATCATTAATTACATGTGGCAGCTTTCAACAGGGAGCTAGTACTAAACAAATAGTTTATCTTTACCCAACATTATTTTCTTGCCATTCGTATTAAAAACAAATTACAGTCAACTCTCGCCTTGCGGACACCCCGCTATAATGGACACCCCAATAATACGGACAGCAGCTAAATCCCCAGCAAACAGAAATTACAGATGTTTGACTGAAATCAACTCCTGCTATTACGGACACTCGCTAATGAGGACACTAACTCGAGGTCCCCATAGTGTCCCCTATAAAGGGAGTTGACTGTATCCTTTGTTTTCTTTTTTGTTTCTTTCTGTTATCCTCGTTGTTGTTGACTATTTAAATACATTGTAGCACTCAACAAAATTTCATAAAGTGTGTGTGGAGGGGGTACTTGGGTTAATTTTTGCTGGCCTTTAAGAACCCATATCCCATTTTAGTAAAATCTAACTAGTGGTCTATTATCAATGCTGCATTCTGATTGGTTGAGCTACTACTAGGCTATATGTTATAGCCCACAAGTAGCGAAAAGTACCCGCTTTTTGGCAGCAAAAAAGGACTAAAGTCTAGTTGTTTTGTCTCAATATTTTTGACAAACTACTTAGATTTTACTAAATTTTCTTGACTAGATTACCTATCATGATGTTGCATTTTCAATAGAAACAGAAACTGACTACTGTAAGTTGGGATCATGAAAAGTAGGGTATAAATTAGCCACAGAATAGACTATTTAACAATTATTCCTCTCACCCTCAGGGTCAGTTTCTGTTTCTATTGAAAATGCAATCATAATAGTTAATCTAGTCAAGAAAATGTGACTCCAACCAGCAGCACATCCTCATTGGCTTATAACTAGGAAGTAAACCCCCCACCCCCCACCCCCAAGGAAATTTCTGTAAATATGTCCCAGAAAAAAAATCAGTGAGTAAGTTTCAAACCATTTAAGGTGGCTCAACTGGATTTTTTTTGTTCAAACTTTGCCATAACCAAGGTAACTAAGGGAGGTACAAGCTCCCTTTCTGAAAAACAAAAGCTCCCTTTCTGAAAACAAAATCCTAGTACCGAGAAATACAAAGGTAAGTAAAAAACGTAATGGCGTCATTGTGTTACCATGGCAACTCTCATGTCAATAAAACATACATCATAACAAATTTTTATCTTTATACAGTGCAGCTGTGGTAACCTTTTTCTGATATCTTAGTTAATGCCAACTTAGTAAACACTCAAAGTAGGGAGGTATACTCCCTAAAAAATCCAGTCAAGCCACCTTAACTGATACAAAGCAGAAAAACAAGTTTATCTTATTGGTCATTACTTTTTTAGGTATTACATTACAAAATCCTGCCTACTGAAATGTGTCGCTAGAAAATGCAAATTTTCCTGTTAATCAAATGTCTCCTACGTGTATTATTTGTAGGTGGAAATTAGTGAAACATCTTGATTGTTTTGGAGGGAACAGAACAACAAACGATACCAGAAAGATCAAGTTATGTGGTCTTAAAGCAGGTTGCATGACCCTATTTAGTTACAGCATTTCTCACAACTTTCCCACATTAAAATGTTGGAAAGAAAAGTCTGAAGCGAAGCTTTAAAAATCTTGATAGTCAAAATAAATAGGGTGCCCAAAAAGGCAAGCATCTGGGAAATCAAAGGCAACATTTTTGTCTCCACCGAAATCTGTCGAATGAAGGGTAATTTGCATCTTAGTGTAAGTGAAGCGAATAGATGCATATTGCCGTGGTTGTAAACACAACGTTTCCTCGAAGTTCCTCACATGAAAGAATTCAGCTTTCGCAAAAATGATATAAAATGTAAAATGAAACAAAGCAAATCAAAAAGTGGTAAGAAAGCCAAGATATTTCAGTTTGATGGAAAGTACCTTAGGCGAAAGGATAGGCGATATGCATACTGTTAAAAACAACTTTCAGCGCAATTTGAAACCGTTCGATGTCCTGTTTGTTTTCCTAATATTCTGTACATTCCACTGGCTTAAATCAGAAAAATGTGTTATAAAGTCAAAATCATTTTCAAGTTAAGGGATTACATTTCCGAATTAAACAGAGAATAGCATGAAAGTTTCCAATTATCGATTTGCTTACGTTAAATTACCTTTGTATCATGGAAACAATACAATAACACTTGATATTCTAGAGTCAAAGGAAGCGACAGGCGTTGGTATCCTTTGTGAGAGCACAAAATAATAGTCATGGTCATCAACAGGCAAAATTCCATATTTGATGTATTTAAGAGTAACAAGAGAGAATTTAATTTTTTTGAATCACTGAAGTAGCATCACTAGGTGAGCATGGCGAAAAAAAAACTCTCATACTTGACTTGTTTGTTGACAACAACTCCACAAGCACGCTTGGTGACATTGAAAATACGGCCAGTTTTACCATGGTACACCTTGTGCGGCATTCCTTTGTGGATGGCGCCATTTACCTTAACAATGAGAAAAAATTAATAAACTCAAGTTCAAGATGTACTCAAAGGCCAGGCCCAGACCAATACTCAGGGTCATAAAATTAGTATGTGTAATCAAATGGTGACGAGTGAAATTAGGGAATAATTTGACGCGCGTTTTGTCCAAATCCTAATAATTTCCCGAGCCTGAAGGCAAGGGAAATTATTAGGATTTGGACAAAACGCAAGTGAAATTATTCCCTAATTTCACTAGTATACCATTTGATTACCTACTAATATCATGGGTGACGAATTACGTTAGCAATCTTGGATTTTTGACATGTTTATCCTGGATCGTATCGATCGAGAACTCCTGCACTCTCTCGAACGTTTAGAGTTTAAATTTGACTTGAGTTCAGAGTTTTTCGACAAAATACCTGTTAGAATCCTTCTTGATGTGCTCTTTTGTGTGTTCAGGTTTTCTAAAGCGTCTTTTTTGCCCTGACATCTTCATTCATGACATTTTAAAACTTCGTTGCCATCTTGACACTGAGACGTACGGAAGGTTGCCATGGCAATTTTGTAATTTCATATGTGAAATTACAAATTAACGCTGAAATTTCGCGCCAAAATTAAGGAGTAATTCGTCACCTATGATATTAACTGAGAAATAAAGCTTAACTTCCCTTGCCCTGCAAACAGCTAGATCATTGGGTGGTTCAGATGACTACACTATACATAAAATGGTAGTTTTGTACCCAGTAGGAGACGTACAAAAGTAGCGTTCTCAATTGGTTCTTTTGTGCTTAATACATTGACACTCAAATACAGTGCATGTATGGTCATTTTGAGCCAATTAAAAAGATAAATGTCAACAAAACATTTTAAGACATTATTTTGTTTTTCACAGTAAACAACAAAGAGGCAGAACAATATGGAAAAGATTAAGTCCTCTGACTGTTTCAGCATCCACCAGAAGGAGACACGCAAACGGCAAATGTAGTGCCAAATGATTTTAGACACAGACTGCTTCTTTTAAGGTTGTTGTGTTAATATTGAAACATGCAAAATAAAGAGTCCTACCTTGATATCCACAATATCACCAACTTTATAGGTTTTTAGATAAGTTGAGAGATGGATTGTACCTAAAGCAAAGAAAAAATCTGCCATTACTTCACTTCCTTTCATTTATCAATGAGCTTTGGTATTCTTGTGTATTTTACAGAGCACCTAAATTTCTATTTTGAGGTATTTTTCACTTCACAAAGCACTTCTCAATTGTCCATGGACGGTTTCATAAGTGTCCATTGTCTGTATAGTTACAGTAAAATGACCAAAAACTGGCAGGGAGCAACACCAGATGTCCATCTTGGAGATGTGGGAGAAAACGAGCTGGTATATACCTGATTGAAAAAATGTGGTGGCTAAAACGTATAAATCATGAATGATGAGGCTTCAAGGATTTATGGGTATACGTTTATTAGCAAAGCAAATTCAAAGTTATTTCGACAAACGTTTACATTATCATGAGATGCCTGTGCAGATGCAAATCCCTAGAGTACTTTGTTTAAGGTATGCTGTTGTCGTTTTTTGTCTTCCAAGAAAGATTTTAGGTAGGGGTGTAATGATTCATATTCCTTGCGGTTCAATTCGATTTTGATTATTGCCTTTCGATTTCGATCATTTTGATTCGATCATGTAAATGTTTCTTAACCCATTCGCTCCTGGAGATTTTGCCAAAAAACGCGTTTTAAAGCTAGTCGAGCGGTTTTCTGGTCACTGTCGTGCAATAAAGGGCTAAAAGTTACCACAAACCGGTTTACAGGTCGTACACTTCATGGCCTTCTGATCCAGATGCAAAATATCAACTTGTGAAGTTCGGGCATGCGCAGAAAGCAAAATTTCGACATAGTTTTTGGGTTTAAAAGTGACACAGCAGTCTTGACTTTTACTTTTCGCTTTCTCTCCTCCCCTCTTTTTTCGCTTTTCTTGCCTCAGTTTTTTTTTTCTCTTGCTGGGCAAGAGTAGGCTTCATTTTGGTGGGAATAGTTTTTAGGAAAGCTTTTAGGATCTTAGGATTAGGTGAAAGGAAAGGTAGGTGGGCAATGGAACAAGATTTTCATGGAGATTTTCAGGTCAATGTTACATGGTTTTTTGACTGAATTGTGCTCATTCTGGTATGGTTTGAAAGATCTCTTCACTCTGCACAAGTTAGCGGACAAAGTTGTCCTTGACCGTTAAAACTGATGACGTCACAAAGGGTAGAAAGGACGTGGATCCGCACAGGCGGTTACGGGCCATTCAGGGGCGAATGGGTTAATTCTTATAACATAACGTGTAATGTAAACAACATGTAACCCTAAACCCTGAATTTGAGAATAGTAGCAGGGAAAGGATGATTCACAGTTGCTTGGTTTGTCGCCATGTTTGAGAACCTGACAAAGAGCGTGTCGCACATAGTTTGCCTTATTTGGAAATTCTCAAGGGGTGGTTGAAGGACAGCATTTTTACCAGGCAACACAAAATGGCCCACGAAATGCTATCGTCTTTGCTGATCAATATTAAACACACAATTTAAAGCGTTCTGGATTCCGATTTTACAATAAAATAACTCACTAAGGGCACCCTGGAAAAGGTGTGCAAAAATCGAACCAAAATCAAAACTTGGAAGCAAAGAATCGTGAATCGAACCGAACAGTCATAATCGCTACACCACTTATTTAAGGTCCTATCTTATGATTGTCAAGTGTGCGTTAGCGATATAACTACGCTATTTAACTGTAAACATCTCTTATGTGTCAAGCACAGGTGAAGTTCTGAGCAAGTTATCGTCATGAAAACTGGAAACAGTTTGACGTTTTCTGGAATGTGTCGACACAAAAAGCTTCGATAATGTAAACATTTCTGAAAAAAACTTTAAATCTGCAATACTAACAAAGTTCTACCCATAAATCCATTACCTCCCATCGTTCATGGTTTACGTATATTTTTAAAGCGACAACGTTTTACCAATCAGGTGTATCACGTTATGGGTACTCTGTATCCATTCCAGCAAAACGAAACAACAGTGCAATTTAGCATTCACATAACATTCTCCGAAAGATATTATAATAGCGTAATTGACAAAAGTTTTCACATAAAAGAAAAAGGTTGACTGAGCTCCAGGATGAGGGAAATCAGAGGCACACAGTTGTTCAAAGGTGGATAAATCTCTATCCACTGGACATTGCAATTGGTCTCCCTAAAAGTTATCTACCAGATAATGGTTTATCCAGTGGATAACACTATCCAGCTTTTGAAAGACTGTGACCAGAACCTCGAACAAACAAGTGGACGAGTGGTACTCGCAGTAAAACGTACCGTGATTCTTGAACCCTCGAGAGAACATGTAGCGCGTACCGCGCCTGACACCCGTTGGATTAACCATTTTTATGGACCCCTATAATTAAAAATATATTTTAAGTTTAATTTAAAGCGACGAATACGCGTGATAACGTTGAAAATTTAGAAATTTTCGGAGTTACCTTCCAACCACGTGAACCAAAATGGTGGAAAACGAGAAAGAGAACGAAGCGAGGCTAGCAACCCATAATGCAACAGGCACTCGCAGGGTTTACCAGTCTTTCGCGTTCATCGTATGAGAGGTCATGCGCTTTCTGTTAATGAATAGTCTGAACTTTTTTCATAAGTTAGTTCTCACTGTTGTACCCTAAAAATTGGAAACTGACCATAAAGAAGTGGATTGCAAAAACCCACTCTTGAGGTCACAAGGGAATTAATAAAAGGTCTCTTCTGCTTGTGGACCTTGTGCTAGCTACGTTCCTTGACGGAAGAAGGCCTGGAGATTTAACAAAAGTAAAGTCATGGCAACATCTCCAGGCCCCTCCTACAAGGAAAGGAATAAAGCTCTGGGGTGGGATGGGGGAGCTGTAAAAAGGGGACTCGGATAAATTAAGATATAGCATATTAATTTACGAGCCTGCATTGGATCATTTTAGATCATTTCATGTTACGAAGGTGGCGTGGTGGCGCCAAGGCAGTTGACATAGTGAACTTCGATTCCAGTGTAAGTCTAGGCTCAAGGGTCTTCAAAACCACGCTGTCGGGGCTTTGCGTTTTTAGGCACCAGCAACTTTGTTCCGGTTTGTCTCTCTTTATACATGCAGGTGTATAGGTGAGTAAACGGCGACATACTGCGGCACATAGGGTTAGCTAACTCTACTAGGATTCCAATACTCCTCGGTGTTTTTTGCTTTGAACAGCGGGATATTATGAGCTCCCCCGCGAAGGCCCTAATGGCAGGTATGTCCCTTTACTTTTTTCATTCGGTAGACGTCATATAATGTGCCAAAAATTAAAATGTGGTCGCGACAACTTCGCCCTTTATCCGGCTCTTGGACTTCCTTTATAGCGTCTGTAAAATTGGCCAACTTGGTTTTTGTTTTTGAAAAACATTCATAATCAAAGCAACAGTGTAAAAAAGATTGGAAGCATTATATATAAAGTGATGTAGCTGATATTTCAGGTACTGACCAGGCCTTGGGATGGACTGTGTATGTACACTTTGTGTCACTTGCTCGTCTTGAGTTTGTCTGTGAATATTTCAGTGTTACGATATGAGATGTGCATGGTTGTCGACCCCAACAGCTATTTACGATAAGTCCCAGATAGCAGTTTTCTTCTTCTGAGAACCGGCTTATTGCCCCTAAGCTCCAGGCTGTGCAACAATTGCATGTATAATGGACGGCTTACTTATAATAAGTAAGTTTGGCAGGCTTAAAAGAGGAATATATTTCATCTCTTGCTTGCTTATGTTCGGAATCACAGTGACTAGAGAGGTGGGAGGTGCTACAAGGAAAGACGTACCACTCGTAAATCCTATTGAGAGTCCTTATCGCTATTTTAAGTTATCATGATGACAGGAACCTTTTGTAGAATAGTGACGACGACGAAATACTTAATATGTATTATAGGGATTTAGCAGGATAAGAAAATATCCAAAATAGTAATACTTGTAGTACTGATAAAACTGAATGGAAAAGCCTATATTTATATTAAATTAGGATTGACAATAACTCAGCAGAACTTTAGCACACGTGCAAAACAATGCGGTATAATGCAGTGAAGTGCGCATTGCATGGAAAAACTCGTTTGATAAAATTCGTAATCTGGGACCACTGTAGGTTCGATTATCAGCCGCTGTTATTGTCTCACCGCTGTTATGGCACCCCTGCCTATTAGACATTTATTTATTGTTCATTGTTCAGTAACAGGCGAAGCTAATAAAACAAAAATAAATTTAAAAAATAACCTGGTGTACAATTTGCCATTTTGTTTCTCGGGAAAGATCGCGAAAGGAAAAGGGATAGAGGACCGGCTGATCACAGGTTAAGAAATTCGAGCCTAACTCGGTTTCGCTTGTCTGATACCGATCGACTGAGAAAGTGGCCCGATATTTCTCAGCCAATCACAGAGGGAAGTCTGGCCACAGATCATGTCTTTACACGCGAAGGGCCAACATCACCAAAAGCTGTCGAAGCGTTTTGAAATTATTGTAGCTGACTGAAAGAATTTAGTTAACACCGGCTGTGTTAACCGTAAAGATTTGCATACCGTAAAGCCTATAATTAAGCCCCCCCTCTAATAAGTCCCCCCCCCCCCCCTTTTTCTGGGGGAAGAAAGTTATTAAGCCCTCCTCCCACCCTCTCTTTCAAGCTTCCTCCACTCCTCCTTTATTCTTAAATGATAAAGTTATATTGATTAAGCGTGACTGTATCATTTGCAGTGTGACTGATCCGGTACGATTTACCCACGTGCTACGCGTTCGGATTTGTTTTTAATCTTCGTCTAAATCTGACTTCCAACTTCATGTGCGTGTCAGCTTTTCCTACCACTTTCCTTCTAGTTTTAATGAGGAAGACTTGATTGCATGATACCATTATCTTTGCTTAAATGAAATAAGCTCCCTCTCTTTAAGCGTGCTTGAAATAAATCAGCCTCCCATTGGGCTAAAAAGAGACTTAATCACTGAACAGATATAGCGGAAAGACTGAACATTGGAGTTCCATTCACTAAAATTTCCCCAAACTATGGAAAACAGCTGTAGGAAATCTAGGAAGATTACAGAGTGTTACCTCGAAGTAATAACAAAGTTCTATATATATCCTGATATAACAAAGTGTCGAGAAGTCCTCGGAAAAGCACACGGTTGTCTTCCACCCCCTAATAGCAACTGAATCTAAGGAAAAGGAACTCGATAACGAAACCGTGAATGTATTCTGCCAGTCACTTGGCTGTTCGTTATATGAGGTTGTCAATGTCTTTAATTGGAAGCGTCATTGAACGAATTTTACGGCAGTGTTACTCTAGCTAAAGACTTCGGTAATTTTAAAAATAGCATTGGTGTAAAGGGGAAAGTCCCGGTCCTGAAGTGTTTTTGAAATTCATAGACAATTTTTTTAACTTTTTCTAGTGAAATGTAATCTTAGCTATGAGATCTCAGCTATGTTGTCCAAAAAATATGATGATTTTAGTTGCTTTGGAAAGAAAGGTTGAGATCAAGCGGGCCGGCCAGCTTGCCATGGATGATACTAATCGGCTCAAGTGAAGAGAATCAGTGAAGCAGTGCAAAGGAACTCGTCTGACATGCGCAACTCACTTATTTAACCTGAATGACATCACCAGACAACAGTCAATAGTTTCAGTAGTTAAAGACCACTGATTGTTCATTCCACTTGCAAGGTTTGTCGTTTTAAATTATGCTTCCTTCAGGTGTTACAGCCTTCTTCCTCTTCGGTTTGTTTCTTCAAGGTCTTCCGAGAGCTTCGTGTGGTGAGTTTCTCCTTTACTTGTCAGTTCGTTCTAACGACAATACTTCTACTCAAACATGACTGGAAGATTAATCCTTCTTTTAGTAGGGTAACCAAGTGAGGTTTATCGTATAGTCGTCGTTCCTCGGTTTCCAGATAACTTACCCAAACAATAAAACCTTTGCTTTGAAACTCGGGAAATTTTTGTCGACGTGAGTCTTTGAGTCTTTTCTTTCTATGCCTAAGTTTCTTGATGGCCGGAAGAAAACTGTTGTGCAAAGGTATGTAAAACAACGAAATTATCAACATGCTATTCTCACTAAAATTTCAATACTGGAGTCAAGGAAGTGGATATTAACCCTGTTGCTAACCACCTGGTCATGTCTGATTACACGTGTATTTGTAATTTTATGCATGCTGTCCACCGATTGTAAATAATCTAGGTCAATTATCTGACCGTACACCGTACATAGTAGAAATTACAGTTACAAAGGAGTTTGTTTCCTTTTTAAATACGTCAGGATTTTTCAGCCGGATTTTGTCATGCAACTGCAAATTAAGTTATAGCGTGCATAGCTGCAGGCCTGTCAAGTATCACTCGAGCGCTGTATTCTTATGGCGATGAGCCGCAAGAAGACTACGTCCTGCGCAATGAGATAATTTCTTTAACTCCCGCTTTTGAAAATTTTGTTGGAAGAGCATAAAACGTCTTCATCTTCATCTTCATTCATTCTTTACCATAAAGTTGGCCAACATTATCTTAAAGGGACAGGTTCACGGTTCAGCGCATGCTCATCAATTAAATTACGTTTTTCCAATTTATTATTAATTTTATCGGTTAATAACCCCACTGATATGTATCTTAGCGATCTCAGAGTGTATTTCAAAGTAGAAGTGTATTTCAGAGTAACATGAAGCAGAATGGAGAAGTACCAAAATCGCAGAAAAATCAGTGGATTATGCCAACACTACCAACGTTGAATTTATTGTTGACCCGAGGGTTTTATTCCATGGTTGATTAATTTACAGCTATTTGCACCTAAGTTGATCAAGTGACTGCCAGGGGAGTGTGCAGATTGGTTCTTTGACAACATTACGACATGATTATATTGCTTTCATAGGCGATAAAGCATGTCCCAGTAGAAAAATAGCATTTTGATTAATGAGCATGCGCTGAACCGTGAACCTGTCAATTTAACAAAAGCAGAGACGTCATAATGACGTCATTTGTTATACGAAAGGAACTAGAATTCCGATCTTGCTTGCATCTGCAAAAAAACAGGATTTCGTACTACAGTGGAACCTCTCGGCATAACGAACTTCTATACTGAAAGTCCTCGGTATGACGAACGATATTCTTAGCCCCATTAATAGTATACAACACTATCCCCCGAAGGAGAGGTGAGTCATGGTGGGTACAAACCAAGACGCGAAGCGTCGAGGTATATATCTAGCGCTGTTCACCGACCCTGAGGGGGATAGTTGTTTTAGTGTTTACCGATAGTTGAATAAAAACAACAAAAAAAGTAACTTTTTGAAAATTAAAAAAGTCACTTAGTAGGAACTTTGTTTACAATTTACAAACATTTTGGGGATTTTTACAAGTGCATTTTTACGATTTTGTTGCAAATTCATCATGAAAATAATTTTCTACCTACCAGTAAACACCGACAAGCCAAAGTTCGTCGCCTTCTTGGTATTTGTTTGTACGACGGCTTCATTTATCGCTCAAATTTCGTCTTCCGAAAAAGACGCCATCTTTGGCTCCGGTCGCAAAACAGTGAATAGCCAAGGATACTCCGAGTTACTGGAGCCAATCAAAACGCGCGAAAATTGCTACTCACCGATTTGGTAAATACTAAGAAACCTCCTTATAGCGAACGCATTTATTTTGTAAGTCCTTTGGCCCTTCATTATATCGAGGTTCCCGCCACTCTAGTTCTGTGGTGGGTTTTTAACGGCTTTTTGACAATAACGCCACCAAGAAATATTGTTATCTCGCATGTGCCGGCTCTGTTGCAGTAGACAAGGCCTGGGGATTATCTCCCAGAGTCAATATTATTCGCAGTTTAAATATAATCAATTTTTAAAGCGCCGAGACGGAAAATGTCCCCTCAAAATGTATTTGCGATCACGCCGTGTGAGTGTGCAAGCCGCTTCCGATCGATTCATCCATTGCTTCCAAAAGCTGGCGAACAGAGAACATTAACAGCAAAAATTCTTGATTTTGGGTTCTTTGTCACAGTCTTAGTCTCGAGAAGGCCTAATAAATCTGATTTCAATCGAAGAAATGCTGTCGAAAAACATCTAAATTTCCACCCTCCGGCGCAAATGTTTATCATTGCTCTCTAGAGTTATCTACATCTTAACTCGACCCAACACCGGCCCTCACATTTGTTTCCCACGCAGCCATTTTTTAAATAGAGTAATGGCGGCAAGACGATTTCTAAAATTACAGTCCCAATAAAGACATCTCTAGTGCGAATTTTGACATAAAACATTGGCTTTATTAACTGAGTTGATAAGGTAGACCCGGCACCACTCATTGGTTTAATTGTCGCTGTGGACTTGCTGATATTTTATATAGATTGGCAAACGTAGGGTGATTGAGATGACGTTTCGAGCGTTAGTCCGGAGCAAATATTTTAAATAGGTTTTTTTTATATGAATGAATCCCTCTGGAGTTTGTAGACCTTAATTATTGTTATTTTCCGCATCATTATCATCATCATTATCATCATCATCATCATCATCGTGATCGTCACGATCGCCACTCACCATCATCATCATCATCGTCATTGTTATTATTATTATTATAGACAATTATCAATCAAGGGTAAAAAAATATTGTTATGATGTGTCGTTAGTGTAGAAGAGAAATGGTCTGCGACAGTTACTGACAAATCACGGTAATTTACAGACGGGTTCATTTATTTTATTTTATTTTTCACTCTTGTTTTGTTTCATCATTTACAGCATTAGGGAAATGTGGAACAGCCCGCTCAGATTCAACTCATTTTCCCCTCTTAACTTTGAATCGATAACGTGGAAAAAGCATTAAAGAACGAAATTTCAGTGGCTAGCAAAATGTTCTGCTTAATTTTTATTGTTTCGAGTTAACTGTCAGATTGCAATCCCGAAGCTTGCGGTCCCGCTATGCTTGTTTCTCTCACCTTTTCAAGCATTCTACCCATTAATTTAATGATTTTTGTTTTTCAACAAGATGATTTTGGAACAATTGAGTACGTTTCTATTGGTGTGTCATTGGGATTAGCAGCCTTCATCGTAGGTTTCATTGCGTTCTTTTGGTGGCGCGCGCAACATGCCTACCCAATGGATGCCGGAGAAAGAAATGCGGGAATCGTAAGTACTGTTCTCGCCACTAGCCAAGAGTTTCAATAAAAGCTTTTTTATTAATAGACCTGTCGAACCAATGAATGACATTTCACGTGTCTGTAATGTACCCGCAAATGATCCCCCGAGCGAAAATGATCTCCAAAAATGGACCGCAAACGGCAACGTTCTCAACTTAAACTGGGTCATTGTGTCAAGTTTATGATCATAACAATTATTAAAAGCATCAAACTGCAAATAAATGCAAAAAAGGAGGTAACATAAAAAAATCCATTTAAAACTTTGTTCATTCAATGAAACACAAGTAAATGTGTTGTTCAACTACTCAGCACCATTCCCGGGCGAATGCTGCCTAAAGCTAGTTGCCTATACGGGGAGGCCCCGTCCAAACCCCGTTTCTGATCGTAGGTTACATCACTTAGAGTTAATCAAGACTGAAATTAATAGGAGAAACACTCAGTCACTGAAGCAAGTGTCACATTCAATATCAGGGAGCTTAAGCAACGACGACGCGGACGGCAACGAGAACGGCAAAAAAGCAATAGGTTTGATTAGCAAAAACAACAACTTTGCACGTGCATCACGCTCTTTTGTACATTTCTTTGCCGTCGTTGCCCAACTACGACGCGAAAGTGCATGAATTCACGTTTTGTCGAGGACGGAAACACAAGACAACAACCTTCTTTTCTTTCCCTGAACTTTGATACAGTCCTTTAGAATTCAACTCCAAAAACAGTTGCCAACATTCGACGAAGTAACCGAGATGGAATAAGCGCGATAAAGTTTGAAGCGGTGCAAATTCACTTTTTAAGTGACGTTTTTGTAGCCGTCGCCGTCGTTGTTGCTTAAGCTCCCTATACACATGCGCACAGCCGTATCTACCGGGCAGTGGAAGCCATAGATAGCTGTCCGACCCTTATGAAAACTTATCAGCAAGGCATAGCCATAGGACTAAAGTTGGGCTGGATGGGATTTGCCTAATTGCCCGGATGATATAACTGTGCACATGCGTACTTAAGGTATTGGCCGAGACTGTCACTTGCGGTAAAGTGTATTCCTGATTAAAATAAACACTTATTCTAATTGCCTGTTTTTCAAACCCAGAGGCGAGGGATTTTTTCTTGCTACGAAAATGTATTATGGTCCTATGTGTCTATATATTGTGAGATTATAAACACTATTTAATTAACAATTTTTCTTCGTGTTTTCAGTATAATTCCGCAATTGCTGCAGACCAAACAGGACAAAGAAATGTGCAAGGCGTTTCAACCAGCCAGCTGTGAAAAATCTTTGGTAGATGATCATCTTTAATTTGCTACTTGTGGATCGAAAGCACTATAATAAACATTAGCCACCGTATGCAGAGCAGCGGCGAAAAGTGACTGATGAGAACAGATCAGTGGGGCATCATGATTTTCACTGTGGTTCAGAAAAATATCATGTTTTTAGTCTAGGATACACCCAAAGGGACCAAAAGCTACTCGGCTTTATTTTGGATATAGTTAAGTTATAGACTGATGATAACTGCCGTGACCTAAAAGTAAAAAGGGAAGAATTAAATCATGTCTTTTTATGGCGAGATCATGATTTGAGGGTGCTTTTTAATTTTTGATCCTGGTAAACTACTTAGGGTAAGAAACGTTATTAATTTTACTAAAATGGGTATTACGTTCTGTTCAGTATTGTCTTGAGCTGAGATCTAAGTTAGAATTCTGTCATTTAACAATCAATGAATGAAACTGAGCGTGATATGAGGAGTAGGAGAGTGTTATCCACCGAGGTTTTTAGAATCCTGACGAGATCGGGCGAGATTAGTAAAGGGAGTAGTCATTGATTATTAAGCCGGAGGCTAGGAGGGCTAAGATTTATTTGGGTTCCGATTTAGGGAGGATGACAATTTTTCTGGCGCCTGTTTTAACAATAAATTTTGGAAGGAAGTTCAAGACAGGTGTGCATATAAGTTTATGCTTGTGGTTGCATCGCATTTTTGTAGCCTTGTTTGTGCTGTTATAATTACAAGCTTGTCTTTTAGACATTCGCCTACATATTTTGTAAGCCATGATCAGAGAAGAATTTGTTTTCAGAAGTGCATGTTTTTCTGCTAGACTCATTTAAGATTTTTTAAATATTTTTTAAGATTTTGTACTGCTAAGTGGTATTTAGTAATCAAAGGCAATAAACCTTTCTAAATAGTTGTGGCTTTTGCCTCAAGAGTCTATTGTCTTTAAGGCATAGCTGACCGCTGAAAGGGACCAAATAGGCGGTAAAAAGAATGATGCAAAAAGGATGCAAACAAAGAAGAACTGAAGTAGAAAAACTGACCCCATTTCTAAAAATATAATATTTGAAACTAGAAATATAATTATAAATATGATCTATATTCACAGAGTCAGTGCTGATTATGCCATCACTGACTATAATTTAAATTCTTGTTCAAAAGTTTCTTAAACTTGCTAACATATATTGACTGTCTCAACAATATTATTCGGTAATTTAAGGAAGGCTAGTTACGTGGTTCATGGCGTAATGAACATCGCAAGGCAGTTCAAGTTCAAATGTTGTATTCGAAGAGTTTGTTCTAAGCAATTTTATCCCTTAATTCTCAATTAGCTTCAATTGGTCAAACCTCTTTTTATCCTTGGTGGGTGACACGAGGTAAAGTGCTTGAATAGAAAGGTTTCTGTCGGCTTGTAAATGCATTTTGATGTCCAGAAATTCTTTCAGTTGTGAATCACTCTCCTTTGAAAAGCAATATACCAGAGAAAATTATTTCGTCCTCATTTTAGCCTTGAATTTTGTTGTGGGTTCAAATGTGTTAGCTTGTCCAATAAATAAATATCCATTTATTCTTCTGTCCAAAGGGAGGAAACATCATTAATTTAACGTCCCCATTCATGATTATCTTGTTATTGCTTTGCCGATTGTTTCGAACTCAGCCCTGAAGATAATTACAAAAAGACACTGCCATTTTTTGGCTTTCGGCGACACCATGGGAAAAAGGATAATTTTTTCCCCATTTAAGTCGAAGGAGTTCTACGGAAGGATGAGACTTAACTATTATTAGGTAAAGTGCGAGGATTTTATTTCGTTTTATTTTATTTATTTGTTGCACAATGATAAAAATACAAATAATGTAAGACAAGTAGAAAAAGAGAATCGACGAGGAGATCTACAGAAACTATAGGAAGCTTATGAGCCCTAGATATCTTCAAATTTTAGTATATCTAGTTCCTTAAAAAATGGGGTCTGTATGCATGAGTATTGAAATGCGCTAGTTTGTTTGTGATTGTAACGACTGCGCTTTAGTTTGCAGGATAACGAGACGACGGAGATTGGTTTTAAAAATCGAAGCCCAAACTATATTATAGTAGTAAAAGTAAGGATAAGCTAAGGAATAATACAATAGTCGTAAAGAAGTTTTAGTAAAGGTAGAAGCTACATTTGAATATTAAAGAGATTGTCTTCGCAACTTTGTTTGCAGCATGCTATATTTCCGATTCGATTTATTTCCAATTTAGGTTTTCATCCAAGATTCAAAAAAAAACCGTGCCTCCTTTACTCGAACGATATGTTGATTATCAATTCTTAATTATCTGAATTTCACAAAAGGCACGTTTTATCTGTTGGTTTGAAGACCATAAGTTTAGTCTTTTTTAGATTTAGCGAAAGTTTTTTTGCTTAAAACCAGATTGACAGTTTGTCCACCTCCAACTAAGCTAACGAAAGATAGTCCAGACTTTTATGTGACATGAATGCATTCATATTTGGTATTGTCGGCGAACAATGTTAATGTAAAGTAGAAAAAATTAAGAGGTTCGAGGATAGAACCTTGAGTGACACCACAAGAGATTTCATTTCTTAGCGAATGATGGTCATTAAATTCAACACAATGCATTCTATTTGAAAAGTAACTTCTTATCCAGTCCAAGGCTAAGTCAAGAATACCGTAATGTTCGACTTCATCAAAAATAATCGCGATTTATGGTGTCGAAGGCTTTTGAGAGGTCAAGAAAAATACCGACGGCAAATTCACCTCGGTCAAAAGCCGTGGAGTGCTTCTCATACAAGTCGATCGTCAGTGCGAGTGCAGCAGAAAGATTTTTCCTCAAACCCTTATTGATTACTACAGACTGAAATCTGTCAGGTATTGCAGGTATTCTATAAGAATTTGGAACAGCTAGGGAGTACCGAGATAGGTCGGAGTTAAAGAATATTGACTGAGTAACTGCGATGTGAAGATGACGATTGTATGCCCCTTTGCTAAATTAGGACGATGCTTGAAAAGTTACTACAAAACTTGTTGGCAATTTTGACAGGGTCCGTAATTTCATGATGATCAGCTTAAAACGTTGAGCACGTTTCGACCTTTCTTTTCTTTCTGTTTTGAATTTTATTTGAAAGTTTCCAAGTGTCACGGGTATTAGATTTAACATTGATTTAGTTTCTTCTCATAATAAAGACAGAGACAGAGAAAGAATCTTAGGGCGTTTACCCGGATATGTGAATTTCACTAAAGTTATTTTATTCCTGAAACGTCCGCACATCTTAATCGATCGTTTGAAACGTCATCAAGACCAGGCACCACTGCCTCAAAGCAAACAATTAATGTAGAATATTGTAATGGGGACTGTTAAGGTGGCTCGATACAATAAATTTGTAGCGACACCTTCCATCTGTGAATCTCTTATAGTTAAACAAATTGATCTTTATGGTAAAACCATTAGAACACATGTATTACAAATACACTACACTTTATTATGATATTATTTTTCTGGCGATCGGAATAAATATCAGGTGGCAGTGACGTCACAACAGTTTCAGCTTTAAATCGAATTTCAGCTCTTATCGAATTAGACTTTATAAATACTTTATGCTGCGCATACTTTGGGTGCTTTTCTTTTGTTATGCGAAGTTTCACAGAAATCTATGAAAGGAATTTCAAGATATCTTAGAACTTCTAAAAAAGGTATAAATTATAAATTGAAAACTGACTTTTTGCAGACGATTTGCTACTTTTTCGATGTTTCCGGAAAGGTTTTATAGCTCATTGACGTTTTGCAAATGACCCTCACACACTTTACGATCGGGTAAACGCAAGTAGACTTCAGCGATTTCGAAAAACAGCAAAACATATGAATCGGGGTAAAACGCAATGTTGAGCTATTTTTGTAATTTCTAAGGCTACTTTCACGAAAACAGTGATTGAACCAAAATTCGACGATAGATTGTTTTTAAAAAATTTCAGTGCTGCAATTGATCAGTGTAGTATATACAGCCCGATTTTTTGTATCCACGAAAAGGTGCCTAACGAAGGCGCAAAATTAAGTAAATATTGAAGCGACGTGATACATTTGGATAATTTTTTGCTTTGGGATTTCCTATTGTCTCGAGTCTAGCATAACATCAAATTCCCATGCAGCAGGTGATTCACTATTCACTATTGTTCAATGGTTAATAGCTATTTTTTAGTGGAATACTCCTCGCGCTATTACCGCCCTCGCTCCAGGATTCTCATAAGACTCTCGCGTTATCAAGTTTTAATGAATGCAGATTAACTTCTGAATCAAAACAGGCTTTCTACAAGAAAAATGTTACCAGAATTGACCAGAAAAGAAAAAAGCCTACCTCAATGTAAGTAATTCACGTTTATTAGACAAAATTAAAGCCTTATTTAGTCGAAATAAGTGTTTCCTATAGCATGTGACTAAACGTGAAGTCCCTCCTACTTGAAGCCCCAAAAGGTACTCCTTTCGGACGGAGCCTCCCTGTATAGGCCATTATTTTATTTTTATTTTTTATTTTTTTTAATTACCTTCGCCAAAAAAAAACCAAACAGACAGACAACCAGAAAGAACGTTGGCAGGGACACCGCAACAGCTGTGGCCAATTACAGCGCTCCCGGATACTAATAAAAAAAATTAAAACAAGAAAAATTAAAAAGCGCAGCGATATAAGAAAAACCACAGCTACATACAACAAGTTATTGGACGAGACAAGGGACGAGCACTATTACATTTAAACAGATTAGACTTGAACGAAAGTGGGTCTTCACAATCATAGGAAACAGCTAACGCGGACTTATGATAATTAAAAATAACCGATTTAAAGGCAGCTGAGGTCGATGAGCTCAAATTTAGTTCATCCACTAAACACTTCCAAATTCTACTAGTTCTAATGAGAAAGGATTTTTGGTACGTACTTGTTTTACATTTATTAATTATGTATTTATTGACATTGCTGGTTGAGGATCTAGTGCGTCTACCGTATTTGAGAACTTCAGGTAGGACAGAGGAGTTCACGTTAACAAGACCGTGTGTCAATTTGAAAAAAAAGGTTAGATCTAAAAGTTCGTGCCAGTAACAAATAGGTATTAGGTTTAGAGTTTGTAAACGAGACCTATATTAACTTATATTAGAAGAATAAGGCAGTTTTAAGATAAACTCAGTCGCGCGTCTTTGGATAAGCTCAAGCTTGACAATGCGCTCAATGGACTGTGGGGCCTAAATTTGGGTGGCGTATCCCAAATGTGGCCTAACTAGGGCTAGGTATAACGTTCGTCTTACTTCGGTTTTAAGTATGAACCTCGTGTTCCTCTTTAAGTATCTAAGCAGTTTATTCGCTCTTGAAGATTGTTCGTTTACTTGTTTGTACCATGTCAGATCCTTACTAATCCAAACGCCCAGATCTATTTCTGCAGCATATAATTCAAGTGCGGTGTTGTTGAGTTTGTAAGAGGATAAGATAGGCTTTGTTTTCCTTGTAATGTGCTGCGCCTTACACTTAACTTAGTTAAAAATTAAAGGAGACCGGATGATTGAGACCAGACTGCAAGCTTCCCAAGGTCTTCCTGGAGAGAAGAGGCATCCGCCAAAGTCTTTATCTCTCTGAATATTTTTTTGTCGTCAGCAAACATCAATACTCGACTGCTAGAACTGATGACTTCGGGAAGGTCGTTGACGTATAAGAGGAAGAGGGCTGGTCCGAGTATGGAACCCTGAGGTACTCCAGAGGTAACAGGAAGATCCTCTGAAGTGGCGCCGACTACCGTGACACGTTGGCGTCGACTTGACAGGTAGGAGCAGAACCAGTTAAGCCGGTTTCCACTGAAACCGGCCTGGAGTAGCTTTTGGAGGAGGCGCCTGTGACTGACTTTGTCGAAAGCTTTTGACATATCGAGGTAGATGGTGTCAACTTGGCTGCCACTATCTAAAAGTGAACCAATGTGGTCAAGAGCCTCAAGCAGGTTGGTGACGCACGATCTTCCAGTACAAAAACCATGTTGTTTAGGTGAAATTACCTGGTACAGGTGGTCCTTGATGCTATTCAACACACAACGCTTAAAGACCTTGGACACTGTTGGGAGTAGAGAGATGGGGCGGTAATTTTCCACGTGGTCTTTTGCACCCTTTTTGTGGACAGGGACGACGTTAGCTAGTTTCCAGTCACTCGGGAGAGACCCTAGTTGAAGTGATTTGTTAAGGATCTTACATAAGGAAGGAGCAATCACTGAGGCAGTCTCTTTGAGCAATTTAGCAAGGATTTCGTCCGGTCCTGCGGCTTTACCGACTTCTAGTGCTTTGAGTGCAGCTAAAACCATGGACTCATTGAGAGTTAGAACGGATATAATAGTGTCTGAACGTATGCACGATGTCTTCTCCACTGCGCTGTACCCTCTGCTGTACCCGAGTGCCCTCCCGCCGGGCAGATTTTCAGGCTGATTTTGAACCCTCGACATGTCGTCTCTTCAGATTAAGGTTGGCCAATCGGACTTATTTGGTTGTTGCCACACCGACCAAAGCTTAAAGCCCTTTTGAAGGCTGCTCGGAGCTGAGGATTCATAAGTCCATATATAATTGGATTTACTAAACTAGCTGTGAAGACAAGGAAATAAACTGCCGTAGAAACCTCCCTGGGGACAAAATAATTAGCGGACTCCATCATCACAACAACAGTCACTGGTCCACATATAATGAGAGATACACAAACGACAGTGAAACTGGTTTTCAAGACGCTAATATCACTTTTAGGACGTTCTGATGCGGCCGCTCCATGGGCATTTAGATTTTGACTGCTTTTTTTAAGAGTCTTATAAATTTTGTAGTAGCAGTAAAATATTGCAGCTGTGGTTGTGTTATGCACTCCACTCAGGAGTATTATCACATATACAATATGCCCGATTCCCCAGTTATAACTGCAGATAGCATATGCAGGCTGGTACACCATCTTACCCGAACCGTACAATGGCGGTGTTGCAAGAAGCATAGAAACTATCCATACGAGAGCGCAATAGGCTCGGGCCATTTTCTTGTTTGGGAAAAGCCTGCTGTAAAGCTGCGCTGGTTTGACAACTCGGATATATCGGTTGAATGCGAGAAGTCCCATACTCAGGATAGAGGCCATTGCTAACGTAACCTGAATCACGGCTTGAATCTCACACCACGTCTCGCTAAAAATCCAAGTCCCTGTATACAGGCTTATTACCCAAAAGGGCATGTGTAGCGTTGCCATGGCAATGCCAGTCAATGCCAGGTTTTGGATGAATATATTCGTCAAGCTCTTTAGTCTGGAGTCTTTATGGATAACATAGACGACTAAGAAGTTGCCGAGGAAGGAGGTGAGGGAGATCAGAATAGACAAGGCCACTACCAAACCAATTTCACTGTGAGAACGTCTTAGGGGGTTTTGGGAACTCGATCCAATTTGAGTGTTGTTCGCCATATGTCAGAACAGAGTAAGAGAAAATGGCAATCCTGCAAAAAAGGTAAATACATAAAATATTGATAACAACAACAGCAACAACGACAATAATACTGATAAATAAATGAATAAATAAATAATAGTAGTAGTAATAATAGTAATGATAAATAAAGTTGGGCAATGGGGTAGGTTGGAGCCTCAGCCTACCACAAGGAAGAACAAGACTCCGCTTCCCCCGCCATCAGAGCTATGGGACTATTTGTCCTTTGCTGACAAGAACCCGACAAGAAAAAGGAATCGCGGACAAATTACGATTCCAACTATGGACGAAAAAGGAGCTGTACGTTCAAGACGGGAGATGAATCAGAGGCTAATGCTAAAAGAACGATGTGCAATTCGAGGTAGCCCCTTAAAATGTCAGAGTGGCCGGGGGTTTAAATGGCGCGGGAACACCAGGTCGCCGTCTTACAACTGTCTAGGCATATATAGAAAGAGACTTCAGGGGTCCTTTATACGGGGATGTGCCGCTCGGCTAGACAGGGTATGGGTTTTGTCTTCCCCGTCCTGGCAGGGTATGTAATTTCGCGCGACTATGTCGTAATTGTAAAAAGGCTATTGCCCGCGCGACTGATTCGTTTTGCATGATGAAATTTGTTTGTACTCCAAGTGCACAAAAAGCATTGACATGACACGGGCGGGGTGCATTTAATCCTTTTTCTTAAACAGTGTAATAGAATTGAGGTAATTTTCCCTTAAAAGGGTCAGGGTTTCAAAACCTCAGCAGCTGACATATACCCAAATATTGGTCGAGTACCCCTCCCCCACCCCCTTGGGGGGGAGAGACAGAAGGACTCGATGCAAGTGACCGTCAAAGACTCAGAAAACGCCTTAGGAAGTGGAATGTTACATGGCTCGCAGTCAGCTATCAAAACGTGGCTATCGATCGGAAGAAGAATGCCCGAGACCTGGAGAATGCGGAGTAGTGAGCAAGAATGATAAAGGCCAACGTATGGCTGACGGAAATCGAAAAGGAGGAAAAGGAGAGAATTGTCGACGTGGTGACTTAAAATAACAGCCCCAATGAGGCTGCTAGTTCTGTTGAAAAACTTAGAATCAAGGAGCTGGGACCCAGAAGAAAGTAACAGTTTTCGATGATTGTGTTGAAAATCACTTGGATGCTCAGCTGGAAATTAAATATCAACTGCAACAACGTTTTGTTGCTTACCTTGAGGATTAAGTTCCACAAGAAATGAAATTAAGTGTGAGTTTTCTTTTCCAAGTGATTATATTTAGGCACAGCTCGTTCGACTAAACCTGCTAACTTTAAATTCAATAGCCCACACTGTGAACTTGATTTTACCGCAGATCATCCCCCTTGCTGTTAATTGGATTATTCTAAGCGCACATGCAGTTACAAAAAATAAATAAATAAATAATGACAACGTGTAAGCATGAAGTTTGCAGGAAACAATAGGGTAATGGAAAGTAGACAACACCTGCAATTAGATTAATTGAAAGGGCACTTCAACAACTTGACAATGAAAATTGAAAGTTGTCTTACAACACAAAGATTAGATCCTGTGGAGAGCATAACACTCGAATAAAGAATGATTTTAGGATTACCGGTTACGATGGAGAAATGCAAGTACACTTATCTCATACGTCTCGATGCAGATGTGTGAATCTTATCGATTTCAGAGCCTAATAGATTATCTTATGGTAAATACTGTGCATTAAAAACGAAATTGAACTTCTTTTCACTTTTGACACGAGGCAACAAAGGTGAGGATTTATTCTAGTAACTCAGTACAACTCTACGCCACTCTGCGTCCCGACTTTGCATGCTGTGTACACCAATCCCCCATGATGGAGAAAATCGCCGAACATATGGTTGAATGGAGAGCATGATCTTAATTTTTTTACCACTTGGCTTTCATAGGTTCCACTGAAATTTCGCAAGGTTTGATTCGGTTTTAATGCGGTTTTAATAAGCAACGCAGGCTCATTTCCCGAACAGCGGCTGGCAATCTAGCTTACAATAACAGGCGTGGGAACCAGCGATTGTCCTTTGCCGTACCTGCTCCGATCCCATCGGTGCATTGGTCTTCATATCTCAGTTGGTAGAGCGCTAAAGCGCTACCGCAAAGGTCATGGGTTCGAATCCCTTTAAGGGACTGTGCAATAATTACCTGGAGGGGGGTTGGAAAATGGGTGAAATATGCCTTTAAACTAAGTCATACCCCCCTTTTCATTAAGCAAAAATTAATTGCAAACTCCCCTCGCATAATGATAATATTAAGGCTAGCCCCACCCCCCTCCCCCCCCCTCCCTCTTGAAAAAAGTCTCATCCCATTGATTCCCTTATACCTAGTTTACTTGTTGGATTTCTTCCTCAGGGACAAACATCACTTCAAATGACTCTTCGACGTATGTCAAACAGTCATTTGAAGAGTCATCAGAATCACTGGACTCTACGCTTGTGTCGTCTTCGCATGAATTGGGAGATTCCTCATCTCCTACAGCATCTCTGGCACTAAGGTTCCCGCGTGCGTGGGTGAGAACTCGATCAACCAACTGAGCCTTGCTTCCACTTATCTTAAGACCTTTTTGCTTTAGATGCATTTTCACCAGCTTGTTGGTAAGGGTTTTTACATCTTTTACATGTTTTATTTACCATACTTTAAATTTGTATCGCTATTAAAATTTCACCAGTTGGGTTTTTCATTCTGCTAAACCATGACGCCATGTGTGCTAACACTGGCATCGTTCTTTTTCATTGAATAACATTGTAGTGCTACTTTTGCAACTTTTAGTTAAAGTTTCCTGTTTTATTAAATCCTAGTGCAAATAAAGAGGCGCTGTTTTAACATATATAACAGAGGCATTCCTTTCCTACTGCACAACAGATAGGAAAACAACAGTTGATAGATCAGAACACCTTAGAGTTGATAAATTTGTCAGTTTTATTCCAATGTTAGTATTTATATTTGAACTCGAACTCTTCCACTACTTTTCCAGTTTGCAAAAAGGAATGAATAAGTAATGCCCCCCTGTATGTATTAAATTTTACATCCAACCCCCACTCCCTCTTGTTGTCATTTTCTCCTATGCACCCCCCTTTAATTTTCCAAACGCTCCCCCCTCCCCCTCCAGGTAATTATTGCACAGTCCCTAAAGCGCCGAAATATCGTTCTTAAATTTCTTTTACACTGCGAAGATAACATCTTATTTAAATTTGTATTTCCGCTGTTCATATCATCTTTATTCAAGGCATTGACTTTACTTTGCAACTATTTTGTCTGTGATTTACAATTTTGTTAGATTGTTAGATAATCTTTATTTATCCACGGTACAAAATTCGTCAGCTTTAAAAATGCCAAATACTGATATAATAAAAATATTTAAATAAAAAAGCTGCTTTCCACGAATGCCGTGCCTTACAGTTCTTTGAGTAATCGTTTAAATTGCCCAAGGGACTCTGCTTCCCTTAAGTTACAAGGAAGACTGTTCCAGAGAATGGCGCCACTATAGCTGAAGCTGTTTTTGTAATAGTTTGTGCTCGGTAATGGAACATTGAGTTTATTTTCAGAGTCCCTTAGGTTATATGCGACTTCTCGCCTTTCAAATTTAGAACTAAGATAGTTTAGGTTCGTAGTTGGGCTGGCCGTACTAAATTTGTCCTCAAACTGAACTCCCTACAGGTAAATAACGTGATTTTTAGAATAAATTGAGCAGCAAGTAAAAGCTTTTTCTTGCTTTCAACTTTTATGCAGTAATCTTTAAAAGGGTCTATGAATTGTAGTGATGGCATGCACCAAAATTCAGACATTTTTAATTTTTTCTTTACTTACATTACTTGTATTGTGACTATCTCAAATTTCACAAAATGCACTTTTCCTGCAGCAATAGCTGGGTCACCTAAAATCGTGACACCAAAACATCAAACGCTTAGGCCAAACGTCGAACTTTTCATGAGACGAACCAAATTCTGAGTCGACCTAAATTAAGTTAAGATTGTCTGTTGGGCCTGACGTCGAACTAAGGAAGCGTCGAACCAATCAACTGACCAAAGAGCAATTTAAATAAATTTACTCCCTAACGAGACTTTTTTTTTCGTACAAATTTTTAAGTTATTACTTTAGTTCATCGCATGTGAAGATCGACGTTTGTCCAGAGGACGACCTTCCGGCGTTTAATCCTTCCGATAGAACTCGTCGGTAAGTTTGGTTCGTCTCAAGAACTGAAGATCGACGTTTGGCCCAGGCCTAGGCTTGGAAGTGGCAAATAAGCCAATTTTCTCAACTTAAGTTACCTGTTAATCGTGGAAAGTTTCGAGAATTTCAGCCTTATTTCTTCTGTACAGTGCTGCTAGCTTCTTGCTTTGTTTCGCTGTGAAACTTTAAAATGCGATCTAGTGAAGACTCAATATGTGGTTCACCTCTTATGGACAATGGAAACAGCAACAACAATGAAGAGATATATATTCTTTGGACCTCTTAAACATAATAACCACTTGCTACGTCTCGGAACCAAGTTATCTTATACAGTTGAACATCCATTAATTTGCGGCCACTCTTGGAGTGCTGTCAGGTGGCCGCCTAATGGAGGTTGCCCGCTCAATAGAGGTTCGTCATAAAGATACTTATATCCTTTCAAAACAGTAACGTCACTTTTTCTGAAATAAACAAGCGATGGGAACGGCATTGCTGGCCAACAATCAGTAAGCACCTGCCATCTCGGACCGTATTTTGCTTCATCATTTTTATAATATAAAGGCAAATTAAAGGTATCAAGCGCTTGATGGCCGCTAAAAGAGCTGACAACAGTGAGAAAACTCTCTTCAGAATAGTCAAAAGGTGGTGGCCGCTTGATAGGTGGCAGTTCTACTGCAAACATGTTGAAAATCCTTTATAGCTGTTTCGTCTTATGTTTAAATGCTAAATTCCAATAAATGAATGGCCCAGTAAGTGTCTTGGCTTTATTGGTGAAAAAGAAAGTTTTTATTTATTGCTTGGGTGAAAATATCAAAACAGACTAGTAATTACAAATGAATTCAACTCTCCGTCACCCGACCAATAAATTCGAAGTAATCATCGAGGCGAATGCCGTGTTTCAGGTAGTCCTAAGAGTTACGAAAGAAAATACTCGGAGGCGAAAAAAAAACAAAACAAAAAAACACAAAGGAATCTCAACCCTCGGACTTACGCGCAAACTTATACCCCAACCGTGTACAAGGGGGCGGGGGGTTGCCGAACCCCTTCCCGTAGTTTTTGATATGTTGCAGTATTTCGCAACGATTCTATCTTTAGTGGAAAGCCTTAGATCTTCTTAACAAGATGAGGTATATTTTATAGATGGTGGCTTTGCTGGAGGCCTGTGACGTCACCAACAATAGTCGCTATCTTTGCCGCCATCTTGGATTTTGCTAGGAATTAGAAATCAGGTTAAAACCGTGAGAAATGGTAGTTTCTTGTGCTTTACGTGAAAACTAACACACAAATAAGCACTTTGCATGATTTTAGCCACAAGATTTACTTTGATTGTTGAAAGAAGTTGAAATGTATTTTCACTCAAAAATGGCTCGACCACCTGCTATTTATGACGTCATATACCGTAACCATAGCGACTGACCATCACTAAACTTGTCTCAAAATGTGCGTAAACGATGAACGAACAGCTACTGGAAACATCAAGTGATGATGTTTTATCCTCTAGAAAAAAAAGTCTGAAAAACCTTAAGGGGGTGGCGGCATTGCTTGTCGACAATCCGTAAGCACTTGCTTTCTCAGACGGTATTTTCCTTCATCATATTATTTTATAATATAGAGGCAAATTAATATGTTTCGATACGGTTTTCTGGGGACCATACCGATTAAAAGAGTGAATTTTGTTCACACTGAAATGTGGTAATCATGGAGGTATATGTTGCAGTTAATTTTTTATGGCAGTTACTTTTTGTTTTTTGTTAATGTTTGTCATAGTCTGCTCTTCTAAATACAGCAATGAAATGTGAAACAGGTTTCATTGTCAAAGTTTTACCAAATTGTTTCTAATTTCAACTCTTATAGGGCATTCAACTCCCAAAAAAAACAGTATCAAAACATCTAAGGGAATTTGAAAATCCACTATAATAGCTAATTCTTCTAATGTTTAAGAGCTAAATGACAAAAAATTAATGAATGGCCCAGTAAATATTTAGGCTTTAATTTATTGGTAATAAAGTATGTTTAATTTATTGCATGGGTGAAAATACCAAAATAGTATTTGCACATCGATTCAACCCTCTGTCACGTGACCCGCCCCTATGACCACGTGTACGCCATTATCACAAGGAGTAGGTTTGGCTACAAGTTGCCGAAAAATTCCCAAAAAGTTGGCGATAAAAGTGTCCGAAAGTTGCTAAAAAGTTGCTATTTCATTTTTAAAGTTGCCGAAAGTTGCTGGATAGTTGCTTTCTTTTTTTACTTGTTTGCGCTTGAACTTGGTTTTATTGCAGTTTTTACCAGCCGGATTCCTCTGTATTTTTCTTTCTCTTAACTAGCTATTTTAGCTTTTTCGGGGGTAGTAAGATTTGCCCCCAGGCTTTTAGCTTCCTCAATAAGATTAATCTGGCCTCCATCTCTAACATTGTTGTCCGCCATCTTGAAAAACGTGTCATGTGATACTGCTGACCTCAGGCGTGCGACGCCAAGCTGGCGTTGGTATTTGGGCCAGTGTCGACACACTCACGCAGTAGTATAAACCAGCTGAATTTAGCTGACTTTTCTTTCCAAAGCTAATAAATGTCGCCAAAAAAGTAAAATATAATTTTAAAAATGCTAAAAAAATGAAACGTTGCCGAAAGGTGGCCCAGCAAATTGTGCCTAAGTCTAACAGGAAGCCCACACACATGCACATGGAAATTAAATGAGAGTTCGATAAAAACGTACCTGTTCTGTTCTTGAATCTGCTGCGGAGCAAAGTGAATAGAAGTTGTTCTACGATGCAAAAACCAAGTTTGTGTCGGCACTTTGTCCGTAAATTTCACAATGCTTTCTTTTATGTGATTTGTCTTGCATTTCACTGTTAGTGTCACGTGGTTGTTATTATCGTCTCGCATTTCACTGTTGGTTATTAATTAGCGGTACTGCAATACCGTTAACAGTGAAACGCGAGACGATAATAACAACCGCCTGACACCAACAGTGAAATGCGAGACAAACCAGGGGGGCTGAAATGGGCTCCTTTGATCTTACCAGCCCAACAAGAAATGAAAAACAATGGCTAATGTCTATTCGGCTCTTCCTTTGATCAATAGCCCACATCTCCTAGCAACCATGAACGTGTTTCAACAAACAGTCATTTTTTCGCGGAGCTCTGAAATGCAACTCGAGGTTATTTTGACGGGAAATAGCATAGCCACCGGCGTCTTGTAAAGCAGAGACAACAAAAGAGTCAACAAAGACGAAAACGGAAAGCGCAAATTTTTTCTGTATCCCTTTTGTCTAAAGTATTAAACTTAGATAAACTGTCATGTCCACAAATTTGGAATGTAGAGCAAGAGAAAGACAGAGAAAAAGAGAAAGTGGGCGGCAGGCCAGCGAAGCTCAACGAGAGAAAGGGCGACAGAGATTTTAAAAAAAATTTTGTAGCGGCGGTGAAAAAATGAGGAATGCTAGCGGCCACCAATAATGCAAGGTGGAAATGAGCGGCAGTGGAAAAAAGTGAACGAGAACACGTATGACATTTCCTCCATAAAACGTGTAACTAAGAAGTTTCTGGAAGTTTCACGTTGTAGTCGTGCAAAACAACGGCAAAGAAATGCACAAAGAAGGAGTGCTCCACGTGCAAAGTTGCTTTTTTGCCAATGACTATTATCTATTCGGCTCTTCCATTGGTCAATAGCCAACATCTCCTAGCAAATATGAAAGTGTTTCTACACCCAGTCATTTTTTAGCGGAATACTTCTCGCGCTCCAAAATTCGCAGAAAACGCTCGGTTACCAAGTTTTAATGAATGCAGATCAAATTCTGGATCAAAACAGGCTTTCTACAAGGAAAAGATTTGCAGGATTTACCAGAAACAAAAACAGACTACTTCAATGTAAATAATTCACGTTCATTAGATACAAATTAAAGCCTTATTGCCAACGAGGCAACCGAGCTAAGAAGCGAGGTTGCCTCGGCGGCAGAATTATGACACCGCGCAATATAGGCCAATACTCTCAAATTCTGCGTAACCCTCTAAAATTTGCATTTTT